ATCTCGGGGAGTGATTTGGTGATGTCCTCTCCTTCAAAGATTTCAAATCTAGACCTAGCATACCTATCACATTCTGCGAGATAGTGTTTTGCCGTTTCTTCTTTTATTTCGCAGAAGCGGCAAAAGGGATCTGGTAGGATACCCATTACGAAGAGGTGTCTTCTCAGTGGGCAGTGGCCCGTCAGAATACCTATCAGCCTCCTAATTCCCTTCCTTAAGATAGAGAATAGCCATTTCGATTCAGCTGGTTAGATCGCCTTAACAAACTCTTTCGATTGCCTTTGTCCGGGGGAGCCATACATTGTATAGTGCAAATCATCAAATTTTAAAATCTATCTTTATGCAATGATTTTTCTTCTAAAAAATCAATAGAATGATTTCAAAATTACTTAACAAATAGATATCAAAAAATTAAAACAGGTGAAGATAAGATGTCAGAGAATCTATGTAGATCATGGTGTGCCACAAGGCTCTACTCTATCTTCACTTTTCTTTTCAATTTAGATTAATAATATTAATAATGCATTTGAACGTTTGCCTTTATGCAGACGATCTAAATGTAATAAATGATTCAAAAATCGACAAACTTAATGATACATAATGAATCACGATTTATGTACAATAACAGATTGGAGTAATAAACAAACGTTAAAAATTAATCCCAAAAAATGTAAATCAATAATAATTAGACATAATAAATTAATGGAAAAAGTAAATGTACAAAACATCCGAAAGTTAAGAATAGTTGAATTGGATTATGAAGAAATTGTAAAATGCATAGGTTTTTATTTGAATAAAAATTTAAACTGAAGCGAACAAATTTTAAATGAAACTAAGAAAATGTGCTCTACAATTTATAGGTTAAAAAAAGTTGTTGGTTTTGCGAATGTTACTATCAGAAAACGTTTAGTACAAGCTCTACTATTCCCGTGTATTAAATATTGAAAAGCTGCAATGTGTTACATTGTATGCTAATCAATAAACTACAAGCTGGTGTAAATATGTGTGTAAGATATACAGGGTGAATTGCTACTCGTGCTACAAACTTCTNCGGACCATGGACAATATGAACTTTTTTGTTCATTTTAGGGTGAAGAATCTACTGGAGAAGTTTGTAGCACGAGTAGCAATTCACCCTGTATACTTAACTTCAAATATGATTATAGAATTTATGATAAATTTTCTCAACTCCATTTTTTTTAAATTATCGATTTAATTCATTATAATTTAGCATGTATCATATGCAACAATCCTTTTTTTAAAAAGATCTTTCCTACTCACAGTAAGTTATTTTGCAACGATCCGGATTTCGAGTCTTTCAGCTCATCATCAGCTTACTAAAAAACTGAACTACTTGACGTTACTAAAAAAAAAAAACTGATGATGAGCTAAAAGGCTCGAAATCCGGTCGTTGCAACACAACTTACTGTCAGTAGGAACTATCTTTTTAAAAAAGGATTGAACACCACACACTCCACCATTTATCAATTCTATCATATGCAACATGTTAAAAATGAAAAACCTACATACATATACAAAAAAATAAAATATAGATCTAATGTACAAAATATATACATAATGTAGATATAAAACTAAACAATTACAAATTATAAATCGTAGAACCACAATATTTAATAATTCATTTGCAATTAAAAGTGCAAGAGTGTTTTCAAAATTACCGGTTGAAATTCAGCATAGTAACAAAATAAGTACGTTTAGAAAAAAAAATTTTATATCAAAATATGTGTAAAAATGTTAAACTGTAATATTAATTTTTTTCCTTTTTCCTTTATTAAGTTAATAGATATTGTATCTTTACAACTGTCCTTTACGTTTATAATGTTAAACCCTTACAAATGTCTATTGTTACATTTGTTTTTTCTCCTGATAAAAGAAGTTACGTTTGTTATTATTTAAAGGTTACTTTTTATTTTGAATGGGTGGATTCACTGTAAACAAGTATATAGTTTATAAAAGATAATTTAATTTGTCCAACTTTTTTGTGTTCAATAAATTGAATCAAGTTTATAAAATCATGTTGCTGTAATTTCACTTTAGGTGTAAGAGTGGTCCTAGAGACCAAACCTTGAGTGATTGTTAAATAAAGCGATAATCAATCAATCTCCTCTGCTCTCAGTTTCTCTTTTTGTGAGAATTCTTTAAATCCTTCAAGATAGCAATTCTATCTATATCTTGAATTAAAAAAAACAAAACAAGAAAGAACCTTTTTGAAATAAAACTTTTGGTCTGAGTTAATTATGGGAAAACAGTAGCTTTATACATGTTACGAGATAAGATGTTTATCCTTCGAATCAGTGGAGTGTTTGATGTTGTTGAAGGATGTTAGCAGTTTGCTCTCTGTTCGATGAGTGGCTGGCGCGCGGTGTCTTGAGGTCTTATAATAAGAAGAGGGAACCGAACTGAAGGGATGTTGACAAAGGGGGTTGATAGCTCTCAGCTTGACTCCCGCCACATTCAAAGAGGACTTTTTCGAATCTCAGCCAACTTCAAACTCCTCATGTCCTTGACGTCTCATAACACAAGCTGTCATTGAACAATTAGATTGAAAGCCCGTCTAGAGCACCTAAATTCACTCCAAAGGAAAAATCCTTTATACATTTCGAGAAGAGGTTGGGATAATTTTGTTACATTTCAAAGAAACCAGTAGTTTTACAATATGAAAATAAAAGAAACAAATTGTCTTTGGGGGTGCAAAGTTTTACATGCGAGAACAAACTTCCCAGTGCAAGAAAATTCTACATTTACTTTTAAAAAAAGCAATTCTTAATTTGAAAGTTGGTCGCTCCGATCATTTTATTGGTCTATTCTCATTGGTTTGCGTTCACGTACGGCTTTTCTATTTCACTCCTTCTTCAGTGATCCAACAGATGGCAAAAGCCAAACTTTATACTTACAACTTCCTTTTGTTCTAAGATGAAAAGAAGCACCCATAATCATATAATTTATGAGATTTATCACAATTCTAGTAGTTCTACTTTGAACAGAAACAGAGAGAAATACATTTTATTTTGGTAAAAGCTCAAACTGGCGTTAAATGTAACGAAAAGGTAGTATATTCTCTTTCTTTTAATCTTTCTCTCTATTTCTCTCCCCATTTCTGTTCAAAACCTCTTTATCTATATCTCTCTCTTAATTATTAATTGTACAAGAGGACAGTACTGTTCTAAATTATTCTGTAATTGTGCCATTCCTGTATGTCGTGTTGTGTCGTGTTGACTCTCACAAGAATGGCACAATTATACAGAAGACAAACACTTTGAGCCCTGAAGATGATCTCAATAAAGATCGAAACGTTGGCACGATAAAGAAAATGTTTTTCTGAAACCTACATCACACCAGATCGCATCTCACGATTTCTGAATAATTATCGATTAACGGTCACTAATCACCACACACACTGTTCTAAATTTGAATATGTAAAACAAAATTTCAGTTTAGTTCTCACTCACTTTCTGTATATCTATCTGTCAATCTTTCTATCTGTCTTTCTCTCTCTCTGTCTCTGTCTATCTGTCTTTCTGTCTCTCCCTCTCTCTCTCTCCCCCCTCTCCATCTCTTTCTCTTTCTGTCTGTATCTATATTTCTACCTTTCTTTCTATAGCTTTTTCTGTCTCTATCTCCCTCCTTCTTTTTCTCGCTATTTCTATCTATCTTTCTATCTCGATAACTTTTTCTATACCACTCATTCCCTTTCTTTTTCTCTTTCTCTCTCTCACACACCCTCTCTTTTTCTGTATCTCTCTACTTCTCTGCTCGTATGTCACTATCTTGATCCCTCCCTTTCTCTTCCACTTTTTCTCTGTCCCTTTCTCTCTCTCACTCATTTTATTTCTCTCACTCTCTTTCTTTTTCTCCTTCTCTTTACATCTCTTTTGTTATCTTCCTTTCGATCTCTCTCATTCTCTTTTTTTTCTTTTTCTCATTTTGTTCTGACGGTCGATCTCTCTCTATCTCTATTTTTCCATTTCTCTCTCTCTCTCTCTCTCTCCCTCTCTCTTTCTATCTTTCTCATTTTTTCCTTTTTCAATCTTTCTCACTTAATTTCTCGCTCTCTCTCTCTCTCTCTCTCTCTCTCTCTCTTTCTTTCTTAAACCTCCACTAAATAAAAACAAAGTAAGATTTTAAAATTATTAACGGTAAAGAATTAAATGGTGTTGTAGGTGCAATAAACTGTTTCGGAAGTTCTAAAAATCTGTGACATAAATGTGAAAATTACCATCTTAAATAAACTTATTGACAAATTAGTAGGCAAACACTGCCCCTTAAAAAAAATAAAAGGTAATCAAAATCTATTCACAATCATATCGTAAATTTAGACAAATTTAGAACATTATGAACTGATGGGAATTGGAAATATTAAGCCAAGGAATAAAATTAGGATCCTTATGAGATTTTAACACCATAAATAATCCTAAATTTAAACAATAAATAATTAAAGCATAATTTGGATCAAGGAACCCAATATTCTTATCGATGTATTAAATATATAAACCCTATTCTAATTAAATTCTATTTTTAAAAAGAAGAAGAAATTATATTAATCTAACAAGTACTGGCCCAGATGAAATATCTATTATTATTCTTGAATTAATAAATATCACTGATCGATATTTTTGAATTGCATTCTGCTGTAGTTTCTTCGGCAATTAAAATCTATATAATTTAATTTTCCCCTTCTGTTTCTAAAACTGTCTAATTTAGTAAAAAATTTTCAGAGGATGACGTCAAAACGGAAAACTCGTCTATGTGCTGTTCCTACGCTCCTGCTCACCACTCTTGTTTTGAAAGGTAATTTTCTTTTATTTTTATATATCTCGTTCTTGGGATTCTCGACTTACAACCCTTAACAAAGCCATTGGATTTCGTCGAAAGCCGCATGCTTAACGAATGCATGCGAATGAATCCATCAAGATAGAGATTGCACAATTGTCCAATATTGGCCGCTCGTAAGGTCGTAAAGAGGACTCCTTTTAACCTTTAACCTTTAGAAATGTTGACGAAAAATTACTTTCTAATTAGCCATTTAGGTCAATTTTTTGACAGGATGATCGATTTTTTTGTAAACAATCAATTAATAAATTATATATTAGGACTTTTCTTCATATTTTATATCTGGGAGAGATATTTGCGATTAGGTGGGGGAGGTGTTAAAGGGACAATCTATATATACTAAACCTGCAAGACCCGGGAGTGTTGCGGAAGTGTTGGTCTTGTGGGCCGTTAAGGTTGTCACAACACTAATTAATAAACAAATAGCTGATAAATTAGTAGTTAATATTACAATAATACAAACTAATTAAAAAATTAACAATAGAATATCAGACTTGTTTATAAAATACTATAAAAATAAAAAGGAAAATCTTTCACTTCAGACGTTTTTGTCTTATATTTTGTCTCATATTAAAGGACATTTCGTCGTCCTTCGTTTCCTTTTTCATGTCTTAAACAGATCGCGCACTTTACCAACTTAGAATGTCTCGCGGACAGTCTTCGCCGGGTATAATTGAACGTTTAAAATGCTTACGTTTTAAGTGCAGCGTAGAATGAAGTGGGGTTCAAATCTGAAAATAGGCTAAAACTTGGTGCTCAATTACAGAGGGGAGCCCTAAGCTCCTTACCCTACCATCCCTCATTAAGTAGTCATCAAGTATTTAACATGGGTAATGTTTAACCGTCAGGTAAACCCTAGCCAATCAGCAATATATTACTGCATACAATTTACCTTTTACTCGGATTTTTTGGGTGATCTTCGTTTGTAATTTACAATGCTTTCGATAAAATATCGTCTTTGTGGAATATTACTTAAGCTAATTTCTATCCAAAATATGTAATAATGTTTTTTACACTAATGGAATTTAATTCTTATTCCAATTTGAAAGATAAAGTGTTTGTTTCAGTTTTACACGCTTTAACATAGTGTATCAATCCATACAATCAAAAATGATATTTTTATTGTACTTCAACAGCTGGTAGGTCAGTAGATAAATAATGAAATTGAAAACATATTTCATACATAGAAGTCTTCTTAGGGAAGAAGAAAATGGAAAACGTTTGCATGTTTTACAGTTGTTTATGTTTGTTGTTTGTTCTTTGTTGTTTCATCTTTAAATAAAAACGTTTTGCTTGTTTTAGGAATTCCGGAAACGTATATAACGGCCAGGTTTTAGTAAAGAAAGAGCCTATGGATTCGGGTACAGCAGCCTATGAAGGTAAATTGAATAACATTTACATTTTTTTAGAGATTACTAAACCTGTACCCAACATTGCCTAACCTTAACTTAACCTAACTTAATTTAATATTAACTCAAACCCTATCTGACCTAATCTGTCCCTAACATTAACCATGCGTGACGAAACCTGACCCTAACCAAACTTGTCCATAACTATAAATCTAACAACCTAGCTTATTCTAACTTTAAAGATGATGACGGCATATATACAGTTGAAAGCTTGGCAATCGATTGTAAGTTTATTCGACTGTACCCTCATACTGATCCACTCAAATAGAACAGAATTAATTAAATTGAATACTAATTATCATTAAACCTAGCCTAACGCTTTCCTAACCTAACTACGTAATCTAACCTGCATCTAACTCTACCAAACCTAACTTATTTCTAACTTTAACCTTGCGTAACCTAACTTGTCCCTAACTCTAAACATAGCATAACCTAATCAAGCAGAGTGTGGCCGAGTGTTCTGGCTCGTATTTGTCACGCTTACCCTACATAACCTATCTTGTCCATAACCTGAAATCTAACATCTTAATATAACCTAATGCTAACCTGACCGTTACCGTAACCCTATTTAACCTAACTTGTCCCTCACCCTAAATCTAACTTTGCCTAACCTAACTTATCCTTAACAATAACCCTAACATAATCTAATCAAGAAGACTGAAGGGCCATGTTGTTATGGCTCCTATTTGTCACCTTAACTCTAACCTAAAATCTAACACCTAACCTAACATAATTTAACCTAATCCTAATCCTAACACTACTTAACCTAACTTGTCCATAAACCCAAATCTAACATAACCTAACACTAACCCTTACCCTAATCTAACTTATCCCTAACTCTAACAAACGTAATCTAACATGTAACTAAACTAACTTGTATCTAATCCGTATACATAATCAAGGGCACCCCGAGTTGTTATGTCGCTCGACTCGTATTGGTAACGCTAGTGGTTCTGGGTTCGAATCCCAGCATAGCCAATGGCTTTTTAATTGATCATAATATGAAAAAAACAAGTGTAAAGTGGTGCTGACTCCTATTGCTGACACCCAACAGGTAGTTGAACGCTAAGTCTAAGCGGTGAGTGGTGACGTTAAGTACTAATCCTAATCCAAATTCCTAACACTTACCTGTCGTTTTTAGGTTAATAAGAAAATCAAGAACTAATAGGTTAGCATAACACTAACCCTACCTAACCTAATTTATCTGGTCCCTAACCATAACCTTGTATCAAACACTACCTAACCGTTCTTTCCCTCACCTAGCCCAATCCATTCGCACTCACGGAAACGCAAAAAGTCTACCCTTAAAACATATCTATGTACAATTTAAGGAAGAGACCTAAATTTTAGGTCTTAGGTCACCTTTGATGTCCTGTTAGGCGCATTCCATTTCGTCAACTTCAGAGGTGAACTTTTTTTAAAACAATCTCACCAGTTAATGAATTCGTTTGTTAAGATAAGACAGGCTTAACTGACCAGTGAAGCTAGCATAACCAAAGTGAGGATAAATGGACCAAAATGATAGGAAAATACCTCAAAGCTACAAAATTCAACAGGATCATCAGAGAATATTGACTATTTTCGTTTCATTCGTCGTTCCCGAAAAACTCTCAATACTTATTTATTTGCTTATCTCAGAACTTACATTAATCTTATTATCTTATCATCATATTCATCCTCGTCACGACTTTTCTCCAGTTTATCAACATAAAAAGCATTCCTCGTAGTTCACAACAAAAAATTTGAACAGGAATGTTGATTGTTGAAGCTATTGATTTATTTCTATTAAAATTAATTATTTCTTACAATGTGTAATTCGATATAAGAAATTTACAATACAACTGAGATAAGCATTGTAACTATCACTGAAATGAATAATGTAACTCTAATAATAAATGAAAGAACAGTAGACTTTAAAAAATTCCTGGATATGTTGAAAGTTATCGGCTATAAAACGCTGTCGTCTGTGGAAAATAATAGTTTTTTCTTCTCACTTTCCTCGTATAAATGAAAAAGAAAATTAAGACACCCCTTGGCACGTAGGCGGTGAGATCCTCGAAGAAATCAACCTCCCCGCTAAACCAATAAAAAAATCTCGAACTCCCGATACGTAAGAAGGTCTATTGAAAATTAAGAAAATATTTGTAAAGAAAGATAGCTCTTGCATGTTAAACCTCGTCGCGGATAAACCGGGCAAGGATATGCAGATCACGTCGCCCTTCTTGCCTTCTCGGTCGAGATTTTTGAAAAATCGGCTGAAGCCCCGTCGTCATCGATTCCTTTTCCAAATCAAGCCCTCCGATTTTTTGTCACCATTTCTGTCGAATGCAAGTTAGCACTTAATACACAATACTTAAAATGTTTAATTTCTTGTTTCACGCATTACCAAAATTTTTTCTAAAATAACTATCGTACGCTCTAAGGTTTCTTTTAATGTTAGAAAAAAAATACAATGGACAAAATTGAGAAAAAAGTTCGATTGTTTCCCACAATATTGGTCAATTCGGAAAAAATCAGGAATATCGCAAACTAACATAAATTTTTGTCCCTCAAATTAACCCTTTTTAATTTCAAATTAAATCTTTTTAATTTCAAAACTGATTTTTTTCAACACATTAACCGTTTTTAATTACAAATGATCCGTTTTTCATTTCAAATCAACTCTTTCTATACAACAACAAATAAACCTAGGAGATGACATGAAATGTAAGCACATAAAGTTAATACATTTGAACGAAAATTTTAAATATAAAATAATTGTGCTCTTCGAAGACACAAGGGATATAAAAATTAATTACAATTAAAAATAAAAATACATAAAATTCAATATAAAAACTAATGATTATTCATTTATTTTCAGATTATTTTAATATAATCTTTAATATAATTTTAATATAATAGATCTCTTAAAAACCTATGAAATTTAATTACACCTAAAATTAAAAATTATATTATACAAAACATAAAAATAGAATATTCGAATTTTAATTTGATATATTTAATCTAGTTATATATTTTAGCATCGTGAACAAGTTTTTAAAACATTGTACATAAGAAGAATCCTTTATTTCAGCATTTAATTTTCCGTAACTTTTAATTAATTTTATTTAGTTTTTATATAAAACTTCAATTATTTTATGTTTTAAAACAATCAAATTAAAAACAATCTTTTATTTTAATATTTAATTTTACATAATTTTTATTTTGTTTTTTACATAAAAGCTCAATTATGATATATTTAAAAAAAGCTCAAATTAAAAAAAGAATCTTTTATTAACTGAAATAGATTGAAATAATTTAAAAAAATTGAACAAATTAAAAAAAGAATTTTTTATTAAACTGAAATAGGAAAAATTAAAAAGAGGAACAAATTAAAAGAAGAAATATTTATTATTATGTTTAATTTTATATAAATTTAAATTTTCATTAATTTTGTTGTTTTTTAAAGTCCAATTATTTTATATTAAAAAAATATCAATTTTAATATTTAATTTTACATAATTTTTTATTTTATATAATTTATTATTTATTTTCATATTGTTTTCTGACAGCACAACTATTTTATATTATAAAATACAATTCTCAATTATACAGGAATATTTTTCTTGAGTTGCATATACATCCTATAATCTCGTAAGTCGTTTTATTGTTTCAAGGGTTGATTTAAATTTTAAAAGGGTTAATTTGCAGTTAAAAACAGTTAATTTGATCTTTAAAGAAGTGAATTTAAAGGCCCAAATAGTTAATTTCAAATTAAAAACTGCTAATTTAAAATTTAAAAAAGATAATTTGCAGTTAAAAACGGTTAATTTGAAATTAAAAGGATTAATTTTGGTCAAAGGGTTAATTTGAAGCATAAAAAGGTTAATTTGATGGAACAAAGTTATATATTCTTTCGAGGACGTTGACTTTTCTTACTTCTTTGTTGGAATATCTGTGAATTTGGAGAGACCAAGTTTTTCAGAACAATCTTTTTTCAAATAAACAGTGCCAAGTCTTGAGAGTTGACAATAATCAAGGCTTTAAAAGAATAGTTATCCCTTCGTGTCAAGTCACTTTTATTAAGCCAGTTTCTAAACTTAAATTTTAATATTTTGTTTATTGAAAAATAAACCCCTCAATTCCTCCCCCGCCCCCTTAAAATGATAAACAGCTCAAATCTATTGTGAAGAAAAACGGCTCCGGGCTGAAGTGTAAATTCGATTTTAGGATTTGGCTCGGGGACGAGATCCGAAGAGAATATTGATGGGGCCCGATAAGGAAAAGGATGGGGCGGTGTTGGAAGGCAAACAGACGCAACAGTTACTGTTTGTAATTAGTGAGAATAATGTTTGGAAGGAGTGTTTGTACTGTTCATTATCCAGATGGGGGTCCCCCTATCGGCAAACCCCCGGGGCTACGTTTTATATTGAAAATATCATAACTCTGTTATTGCCCTGCTTGTCTTTCAGCTCGCCCTCCTCCTCTTCGCCTCTCAAACCAAATCTACTATACAATCAAATAGATAGTTGTTTGCATACCGTTTATTTCTCATATAGAGAAAGCAGTTATGGAAAAGGGGAAGTAAACAACTCAGGTTGAATATACGTTTCCTCGCTTTAAACACGAAAGTTTAATACGTTTGGACCGACTTTCATAAAGAAAATGAGAACACACCATGCTGATTATACTTTTATAATATAATACAATTTGAAAAGAAAGGACTGTGGACATGACAGCACCGAGTTTAACCAAACTTGGTTTGGTGATACGTCGAAAAATATTAGACAAGTGCTCGAGTATCCTTGCAAATGCTTTTCCATGTTTCTAAAATCGAAAAATCCCCTGGGTTTTTTAAATTACTTCCACTCTAATTCGATCCTATCCTCAGATGGCCATTGAACCCTTTAGGACCTTTGTTGTCTTAGACCAAGACGAATTTTAGCAATTTTTTAAAAAGTTAGCGGGAAAACCCGTGAGTTTAGATTGAC